TAATTTAGAACTTTCATTTCCAAACTCTTAATAATCTCACTTTGGTGCTTCTGGATGTATTAGATGAAATTAAAGAATTAGAAAAGTCTCATAAAATCAAAGGGAACAAATGCATACTAATGCAGAAGCTAATGCAGACAAGCACAAACACTAGAACTATAGCTGTGGCTTTACATTACTCTGCAGGCAAACATTCCAGCCTGATGTGATTTAGTTCAGCCCATGAGATGGCACCCAATGAAAGCTGTAGAATCATTACTAGGTGAGTGAAGACCTGCTGGTAGTCAGTAGCCATTGCTCCCAGTTACATATGGAGCGAGATAGTAGCTAAGAGTAAGGACTCAAAGCTTTTACATCAAATATGAATCCACTTTTCAACTACCATCCTGGCCCTTCCACACTAAAATCAAGGAAAGGTTTTCAGGGTGTCTATGAATTTTGAAGGAAAACAAGAGAATGCTAGAATCATAACGTGGAGAGAAAGAACTATCCATCTGTTAAAATGGATGGAACCCCTGGAAAGCTCCTGATCACACCGAGAACTGGATTGCTCAGTAGTTGCTTAATCAGTTATGGACTGGAGTAAGCAGAACCAAAGTGAACCTAAGAAAATGGAAGTTTTGTACCAGCAGTATCCTTTGCCAGTGCAGAGAAGGACTGGCAACTTCACAACTACAACATTGTTCACAACTATGCTCCTCAAGAAGTACTGTGGAAGATTTGATTTTGTCTGCTCCAAATACTCTTGATGTTGCCCATTAGTGGGCAAAGACTATCTGACATTTTTTAATTGTACTGTGATGCTTCTGACATGAAGAACTTCTGCTAGCAATATGTTTTTGGTAGTCTCCATATATTTCTTTTTTTAAAAAAATAATTATGCCCTTTGATGCATTTTTCACATAAAGTGACTCTGAGTACATCCTATATTAGCTAAAGTTCACATCTGGCATACTAATAATAAATGGAGATATAGATTGTTTTGTCATGTCCACTGTTTTATCTAGTTAAGAACACTAATGGGAGTGTTCAGGGAGATGGAGCTGACTAGAGAAGACTGTTAGAAATTGGCAAGAAGGCATTTAGAGGGATAAACATGATGAGTGAATCTGTTAACTCTTGTTTGGAGAAATCAAATATGAAAATATAGTGTACAGTATGTTCAGATCGTAGGTATAATTTCATTCACTTTGATGTAATTCTCTCCAGTTTTTTAGTAAATCATATTTTGCAGAGGAGGAACCATATTTATTCAACTCCTGTCAGTATCATTGGCTGTTATGTTGAAATCATGACCCAGGATTATGGCATTTTCTCTAGTTTCTCTTCAGATTGTGTAAAGATTGTGGCTTTTTCCTTAAAGAAGTTCACAGTTTGAAAATATATTCTCCTCTGGAATATTTATTGGTATCCCAAGGGAGATAGGAAGTAATTAACTTTGCAATGAATACACATCTGGATTTAGAGGATCTGAATATGAGATTAAAATCTCAACACTATCCCATTATCAGCTCTCCCACACAGCTTGTGTACCCGGCAACTCTGTGGGATCAGAAGGAAAGCCCATTCTTCCATGGCAGACATTCTTCTCTGTAGAGAAGAGTTTGGTTGATTGTATGGAACTCAGATAGACCTTAGCTTTTTAAAATATAAGAATTTATCAGGTTATTTTTGCATAAATGCTTCCTACTTTTCTGGCAGAAGAATAAGATACATATCACTCATGGTGAAGCAGTTCTTTCCTCAGACATCTTGTCTTTTTATTCTATCTTTGAGAAGAAAAGTGACTCTGGCAAACTGATGCTATTGTACATGCTTTTAAAAAAATCTGTATTGAATCTATATTTCTCATACAAGAAGACTATACTTTCAAAAAGGTTAAAAAGTATAATCGTAAACAATTGCATTCAGAAAATAATATTTCAGCCATATTTTGAAATCTATAAAATATATTTCATAGCCTTAGGCAATTATTGCATTGACATGTACCAGAAATTCTAAAATACTCTTACCTATAGGATTATGTCAACATAAAAATAATGAATTGTAGGCCATAATACCTATTTCTTCTTACCTCTCTCCCCTTCTGTGCTTTTCTACTTAAAATTCTAGCTCTTATCTGTCAATGTAATATTATTGTTGACATAAAGGTGCTTGGATAGCAGTAGCTTTAAGTGAATTTCTCCTCTGTTTGTTGTTAATCAGACATGTTGCTTTTATTTATCTGCAAAGGTAAAGGTAAAGATTCCCCTTGACATTTTTTTCAGTCGTGTTCGACTCTAGGGGGTGGTGCTCATCCCAGTTTCCAAGCCATAGAGCCAGTGTTTGTCCGAAGACAGTTTCCATTGTCACGTGGCCAGCGTGACTTAGACCCGGAACTCTGTTTACCCTCCCACTGAGATGGTACCTATTTATCTACTCGCATTTACATGCTTTTGAACTGCTAGGTTGGCAGGAGCTGGGACAAGCAATGGGAGCTCACTCCATCGCGTGGATTCGATCTTACAACTGCTGGTCTTCTGACCCTGCAGCACACAAAGGCTTCTGCAGTTTAGCCTGCAGCGCCACCACGTCCCACTGGTGCACATTGTCTAATCTTGGCTGGTAGCTACCAGTAGTAACATCATTATTATCATTCATGAAGTCTATCCAAGCAGATTATTTCTGTGCTTGCTAGTAATGCACATTAAGAAAATATAAATTCATATGCTTATTTTTAGCACACTAAGCAAACTAATGTGAATACAACAAAGATATAGAAAAATATTCACTGCCATCAAGTGGAAAATGGGAGTCTTTTGATTTACAAAAGCCAGGTTTTTCCAAAAGCCCATTCTTGGACAATAAACATCAGATTTATTTTTTCTCTTAATGTAAGACCCTATTCTATGAACACCTAAAGCAATTACTTTAAAGCCTGACATTGGTTTTCCACCAGTGGTTGTAAATATAATATCCCATTCTTTTTACTACATCCCAAAATTATAAAACCCAAACTGAACAATTAAGAACTGAAAGCTTGCAGCCCCTAAAACACTTGTGTCAGATTGTTTTCCCTTAATAATCCTTACTGGATCCAGAATGGCTAAGGTGATGAAGGGATAAAAAAATGAAACTGTTGAATAGCACAATGGCTTAGGTATCTGACTAAGGAACCAGAGGTTGGGAGTTTGATTCCTCATTGTGCCTCCTTGACAAGAGGTGCACTCATTGATTCATAGGCTCCCTTTAGACTCTGTTGTTGTTGTTGTTGTTAGTGATTAATATGTTCATTTGGCCTCATTTGTACTTAATTACTTATTTCATCATTATGCTAGTATATTCAATGAGTTTATTACTCCTTTGGAGCATCGTAAGTGCAAATATTCATGGAAAGTGTCAGGACTCTTCTTTCTTATTGCTTGCAAAATGGTATCCCTTGTTTCTTCCTTGGTAAATCTTACTGAAGCCAGTGCCTTGCCTTTCTTCAAGTGGCTGAGCAGCTCTATATATGTATGCCACCTCCCCTCAGTTTCAAGTCTGGGGAGAGCTCTTCTAACAGGTCAACAGTACCTCGTTTTCTCCTAAGCCTTTTAGTGGCTTCTTTACCTCTCTAATTCTTAGATGTTGCTTTCTATTTCTGTTTTCAGTTAAGTCCAGTTTGAACTGAAGGTCAAAATTGCATTGTGGATACCAAGCGCCATGGCTATATTTACAGGTTTGCTTCCTAGTCCATCTACTTTGTCTTTAAGAAGGGATGAAAGTAGCTGGCCACTCCTCACTTAAGCCTTCTTCAAGTCGTTTAGTCATTCCAAGAACTTCACTTGAGGTATTTGAAACATCCGAAGAATTTTTCTATTCCCTTCTGTCCATGGCACTGCCAGTGATAGTTTTGCACCTTTGTTTTTGAGCTTTTTGAATCCGAACCAGAAATGGTTTTGAACATTCATCTCACTGGTTCTGGTATCTCATTGACAGTCTGATACAAAATTCTATCAGAGCTGAAAAATATCACTTTCCTTGGACTTCAACTCCCAAGGTCTGCCAGCCAGGTCAGTGTTTCCATTCCCTGAATTTTAAGCTGGTTTATCTATAAACTGGTTCATCAGTTTATTTAATAATTTTTTCAGATTTCAATCACAGAGTGACTCTCCCCACTTTGTCAATTTTGTGCAACACTTTATAAAACAAATCTGCACATTTCTAGGAAGGGGGTCAACCTCAGACATTTTGGTATCTCGGGTAGATCAATAAATTCTACTTGAGTGCACAGAACCGAAAGCAAGGCAAGGGGCTTTTTAAAAGGGACAGGAAATCCCACAAGGATACTTCTTCCTTCTTGGCAGAAAAGTTCAGGGAAAAAATATATAAATAACTCATGAAAGCTAAACATGGTTTCTTAAACTCTTTATGCCTGATGATTGGACCAAGCCTTTCTATGAGCCTGCTGTCATCTTTCCTAAGTACTTTTGGCAAAGAGTGATGGAGAGTTGTCACCCAAGAAATATGAGGAAGAGAAAACTAATAGACTTTTTGAAACCAATCTGCAAACTTTCAGCTGGGAATACAGGACTTTTCACAATGGACAGCGTTTATTCCAATATTCAGTCTTTTAAATAAAAACATCAGAGTCATTATAATATTAGCAATGAATGTTCTTAGCCACCTTTGCAATCTGTCTCCATATCAAGCAACCAGAGTGAATGGACAGTCATGCTTAACAGACTCAGAAGTTAACAGCTAAATAAATATAGGCAAACCACTCATGTGGTTTCAAAGTAATCATCATCCATATCACCATGTTTTCATAAATATTCATGCCATTTGCTGAGCACTACGGATTGATAAACAGTGAGTGTAAAGCTTTCCACCTAGGTTTATTGTGCATTGAGCTGCCATTCAACACACAAATCTATAGTTTCTAGATTCAGCCACATGGTGGTAGCATAGGCAAACACATGGCTTGCAACTAAGAAATTTGGTCTGTGAGCAAATTCCTTCTATCTGAAAGAAAAGGACGGCCAATTTCTGCACATCACAGTGGACCAAACATTCAATGTGGCAAAGCAAGGAGAACTGAAAAAAATAAAAATTAATCTCTATCAGTAGGCAAAAGGTGAAAGTCAGAAGCTTTACATTTGGACCAGAACCTGAAGAGAGAGGCAGCAGTTTTGAACCATGGAAGATTGCTTCAGGAAAATACAAGGTCTGTATTTTTTGCTCTTGTTCACTGTGTCTGGAGTATTCTGTGTCTCCATCCGTTATTCTGTGCCTGAAGAGAAGAAAACTGGGTCTTTGGTGGCTAATGTATTGAAGGATTTGCAACTGGGATTAGGGGAGTTGACTGTTCGGAAAGCCCAGCTTGTTTGTAAAAGCAATAAGCAATATTTCCACCTTGATACTCGCTCTGGGGATCTCTTAATAAATGAAAAAATAGACCGAGAAGTATTATGTGGCCAGAGTCAGCAATGCTTAGTATTGTCTGAAATTGTGCTTCAAAATCCCTTAAAAATTTACAGTATTGAAATGAAAATAGAAGATGTGAATGACAATGCTCCCAAATTCTCTAAAAATGAACTTCAGCTGCAAATGCCTGAGAATGTTCCCATTAATTCTCAATTCCCCATGGAATCTGCAAAAGATCAGGACCTGGGAGAAAACAGCATTCAAAACTATACACTCAGTCCCAATGAGCACTTTCACTTGATTGTAGAAAGCAATATAGATGGAAGAAAGTATGTGAATCTCATTCTGGAGAAACCACTAGATAGGGAGAAGGAGTCACACTTTAGACTGATACTTCAAGCTATTGATGGAGGGGTGCCCCAGAGAACAGGAACACTTCAAATAAAGATTAACGCCCTGGATGTCAATGATAATTCTCCTCAGTTCTCTCAGGCTCAATATAAAGTAAAATTAAAAGAAAACAGCCTCCAGGGTACTCTGGTCTCGAAAGTTGAAGCTAGAGATTTAGATTTGGGTTCAAATGCAGATATCACTTATTCTTTTAATCAAGTCCCTGAAAATATATACAACTTATTCAATTTAAATGAAAGGACTGGCGAAATAACAGTTTTGGGGCAGATTGATTATGAAAAAGAAAACAGTTATGAAATGAACATCAAAGCAACAGATGGAGGAGATCTTTCAGGGCACTGCAATGTCCTGGTGGAGGTTGAGGATGTGAATGACAATCCCCCAGAAGTGACCATCATTTCCGTCAATAGTCCTATACCGGAGGATTCTCCCCTGGAAACACTTGTAGCTCTCATCAGTATCAGGGACCAGGATACTGGAGACAATGGCAGAACTGTCTGTTCATTAGCCATCAATCTGCCCTTTGTGTTAAAAGCAACAGTGAATGACTATTATCAGCTTGTGATTCAAAGTCCTCTGGACAGAGAGAAGGTTAGAGAATATAATGTCACCATCACTGCCACGGATAGGGGCTCCCCAAGGCTCACTTCTACAAGAATAATTAATATTCAAATCTCAGATGTAAATGACAATCCACCAGTATTTGAAAAGACTTTATATGAAATGCAGATATGGGAAAATAATATTCCAGGTCTACTGATTGGCACAATCCATGCTGTTGATCGGGACACAGATAAGAATGCTAAAGTGAGCTATCATCTTTTGCCTTGGAAGACTGATGGCATCCTTCTGAGTTCTTACATCTCAGTCAACTCAGAAACTGGAAATTTGTATGCTCTCAGATCTCTGGATTATGAACAGATCAAAGACTTCCAAGTCACAGTGAGGGCGATGGACGGTGGGACTCCTCCACTGAGTGCAGAAGTGATTGTCAAAGTCTCCGTCCTGGATGAAAATGACAATGCTCCTTTCTTCCTGTACCCCCTTCAGAACAGCACAAGCCCCTGCAATGAGCTACTTCCCAAGACAGCAGAGGCTGGTTACTTGGTGACCAAAGTGGTGGCCGTGGATGGAGATTCTGGCCAGAACTCCTGGCTCTCCTATGAACTGCTGAAAGCCACCGACCCCACTCTTTTCAGCATAGGAGCCCAGAATGGAGAGGTGAAAACCAGGAGGCCCCTGAGTGAGCGAGACGGAAGCAAACAGAGACTTATCATCCTAGTTAAAGACAATGGGGTTCCTCCACAAACCAGCACTGCAATGCTCCACATCCTTCCAGTGGATGGGTTTTCTGATCCTTATATGAAGATGGTGGATGTCAGGCAACAAGATCCAGAAGAAGAGGAGGAAACCTTAACAATGTATTTGGTGATCTGCTTGGCTGCAGTCTCAGCTCTATTTTTAATATCTGTTGTTTCTTTTGTTGTTATCAAAATCTACAAGAAAGGCACCAGGGAATGTTTCGTGGCTGCACCTCCCCATTTCCCTCCTACTCGACCTGATATTCCAGAAGGCTGTTCCGATTCTCAGAGTGGGTCCCTTTCCAGGAATTATCACTATGATGTTTGTTTAACCGGTGGATCATTAAGCAGTGAGTTCCGATTCCTCCGGCCATTCATACCTGTTTTTTCTATGGGAGAACCAATCATCCCTGTGAACCCCAAGACCTCTTCTGGTTCCGAAAACCTTCAGGAACATTTGGAAATCAGTCAGTCAGTGGAACAGGTGAGAGACTAATTCATTTTCATTATTCCCTTACCAGGGAAGTCCATCACAAGTGGTATTTGTTTCTTCATGTTAATCCTTTTGTATTAGTCCTTTATCAGCAAAATACAAAGAATAGTTTGTATTCTTGGAATAGTTTGGCACCTGAGAGTAGCTTCCAAGAGTTTGCTTGTGTTTTAGGGCCACATGAGCATGAACAAACACAGGCACTTGAGCACCACACTAATCTAAATTTCCATCAGCTTTTCACACAAAAGGGTAAGGATTAGCTTTGCTGGCTCGGCTTGTGTGAGAACAAAAACAGTCCAAAATAGTAACTTTTCCTTTCCTTCTGTGTGATGTATCTGTTTCATAGACCAAGCAAGGCGAAACAAATGTTACTGTGGAAGCCTTTGGTGACTGTTCAGAAAGGCCCTTTTCTGATTAATTTCTCCCTGAACATATGCTTATTTCCTCACAGTCCCCAAACATCTTCCACAAGAGGAACCATGTTTGGAGTAGGTGCTCTGCCATCATGAGGTCATGCATATTTTGTATGCTGCGATGAGGGCAAAATTGATGACTTGTGGTGGTTGAAAGTCACATTAGTGTTTGGTCTGAGAAGTATACTTTGGCACATAAATTTTAGAACTATAAAATCTCTGGAAGACCATACAGTCATGAAATAATTCAATCATTTTATGCTTGTGGTTATAGGATATTTATTTTTTCAGTTTTATATTGGATTAATTGTTTAGAAGTCTTTTTGCAAGGGAATTCAAAGGGCCATACAAGTTATGCTGATAACTTGCATGGCGTTTTGTAAGACACAGGTCCCAGAATAACAAGATATTTTGTACTTTGAAAATTACAGGACTCTTTCTTATTAATTATTTGCAAAATTGCATTCCTTGTTTCTTCCCTGGATAAGTCTTACCTCAGGTCTTGCCTCTCTTCAGTGACTGAGGCAAGGTTCTTTTATATACAGAAGGTACATCACTTTCTATCCATTGTAGGTCTGGAGAATGGCGATTTGGTAGATTAGCAATAGCTTTGCTTTCTCTGTGTCCTACTAGAGCATCCTTAACTCTCTAATTAAATTTTGCTTTCTGTTTTTGTTTTATTTAACTTCACATTAAGATGGAAGTCTAAGGTGCATTATATAATGGGTGAAATGTTAGTGTTTAATACCAAGCTCCATGGCTTGTTCAGGTCTGCTGGATATATTTTAAGTCTACTTACTAGTTCATTTATTTTACATTTAAGAGGGATGAAAAAAGCAAGTAAAGGTAAAGGTTCCCCTTGACATTTAGTCCAGTCTTGTCTGACTTTAGGGCATGGTGCTCATCCCCGTCTCCAAGCTGTAGAGCCAGGATTTGTCCATAGAACGTTACTGTGGTCACGTGGCCAGTCCGACTGGATGCCATTACCTTCCCACCGAGGTAGTACCTATTTATCTACTCACATTTTTACATGCTTTCAAACTGCTAGGTTGGCAGGAAAAAAGCTGACTGCTCCTCAGTTAAGCAATAATTAACTTATTTAATATTTTCAAGAATATCACTTGAGGGATTTGAAACATTAGAAGAATTTTTCTATATGGCAGGCTTTATCTAGCAGCTCTGAATTTCCGTGTTTTTAAAAACAAAAGTTTAAGTATACATACCCTACACACAAGTTCCAGATGCAACATCTCTCATGGAGATTTACCTTGTATTAGAAGAATACAGAAGATTATCACATGATCTGTACCATGTTGGTGTGTGGGAAGGGGTAGTACTAAGAACAGCTAAGATGTGGCTGCAGTCCCTCTGTGCCAAAATACTTTGAAAGACTGTTTTGGACTGAATAAAATGTGCAGCAAATGTGTGAATGAGAGCAAAACAGAGAAACATACGTACCTTTTAACCTCTCAGGTAAACTAATGTTGCACACCCACTTTGCAAAATGCAGATTAAATGCAGTAGCTGTCCTCCAAGTTCCAGTTCCTTTCCTTGTGGCAGGCAACCTAAGGAAGAAAAGTACATAGATCCAAAGGCTTTACTTACATGTTGCATGCATGTTTTCCAAAAGATGGTACATAGATCCAAAAGCTTTACTAGCATGTTGCATGCATGTTTTCCAAAAGATGTCCCCAACCACAGGCTCTGTAAATTTGCATTTTGAAATAAGGGGGGCTGAGAGTGAGCAAAGATTGTCACTGAAAACCAAGGTCAAAAATTATCCATACTATTTAAAAGATAGACAGTGAAGAAAGAACAAAAAAAATTTGAACTCATTTGAAATGTAGTGTTGGAGGAGAACCTTACAGATACCATAGACCACCAGATAGACAGATAAATGGGTACTCAATCAAGTCAAGCCTGAATTTTCACTAAAACAAAAATTAGTAAACTAAGGATATTGTTTGCCTTGCACAGAATTGAAAATACAGAATTTACCAAAAAACAAAAAGAGGCAGAATTTATGGGAAAAGTGAAGGGGGCTCAGCATGAAGAAAGGAAAACTTAACAGGAGATGAATTGACTCAAAAAAGGAAGTCACTGCTATTTGTTTGCAAGATCTGAGCAGAGCTGTTAATAATAGGATGTTGTGGAGATCATTATAGTCACCACATGTAGGAGGGGTGTGATGGCACATAACATATTTGGAGGCTTTTTATGAGTGGAGGGGTTTTAGTTATTGATTTATGGTGATAATGGTTGCAGTATCCAACTACCAACTAGAGGCTATGACTGGGCATAAGCCACAAATGCTCTACTGACATGCCTGCGAGTTTTCCAAAATATGTCCCTAGCCACGGGGTCTAGAAATCTGTCTGTTAGCAAAAAAGCAGCAAAAACTTTGTTGCATTTTTATTGATTAAGTAACACTATCCCTTGTCACAAAACAAAAAACTGTATTGTAGCTTAAATGAGTGAGCTTCTGAATATTTGTTATCTGTTCTTTCTTTAATATCTGTGTCTGTATGTCTACAACCAGATACAGAATACCCTTGTGTCACATACAGCACTGAGGAAGTCACCGCTATTTGTTTGCAAGATCTGAGCAGAGCTGTTAATAATAGGATGTTGTGGAGATCATTAGTCACCACAATATAGGAGGGGCGTGATGGCACATAACATCTTTGGAGGCTTTTTATGTTTGGAGGGGTTTTAGTTATTGATTTATGGTGATAATGGTTGCAGTATCCAACTACCAACTAGAGGCTATGACTGGGCATAAGCCACAAATGCTCTACTGACATGCCTGCGAGTTTTCCAAAATATGTCCCTAGCCACGGGGTCTAGAAATCTGTCTGTTAGCAAAAAAGCAGCAACAACTTTGTTGCGTTTTTATTGATTAAGTAACACTATCCCTTGTCACAAAACAAAAAACTGTATTGTAGCTTAAAAGAGTGAGCTTCTGAATATTTGTTATCTGTTCTTTCTTTAACATCTGTGTCTGTATGTCTACAACCAGACACAGAATACCCTTGCAAACATGAATCTCAACTAGCCCATTTGGCGAAGGAGGTGTTAAACATCCCCTAATTGAGTCCTGACTGACAGGTTCAAATTTCATACTGCCCCAGACATGGATCCAATTTCCCATTTGGAAACTTATATCAGGAGACTGTTTGGTCCAAGAGATCATGAGATAATGTTTGCTGAAAGGGCTTTGGGTCATGAGTAAATACAACTGGATGGTTTCAGGTTGCGTGCTTTTCTAATGTATGTGGAAATACTTTGATTTTGCCTTACGAAATTGTATACTGATTTCCTGAAGATACATGGGAAATGTTCCCTTTTCTCGAGGACTGTTGAACAAGCCTGTTCTTTGACTGTCCTGTTTCCTAATATTTTGGGCCATGATTATTACTTTCTTTAAAGCAAGCCTGTTTTTTGAGTCTCCTATTTTCTATTAGTTTGGGATGTGACCTTTCCTCTTAATAGTTCCCTTCCCCTTCCCCTTCTCCCAGCTCTAGCCTTTGCTAAAGCCAGTCTTCTTCCAGGCAGGCTTGTACCATGCATGCTCAGTTTTATAAGAAATCATTGTTGTTCTCACTTGAAAGGCCTGTCTAAAGGACCAGTATTTCAGCCCCTGCAGCCTGGATTCTTTCCAAATAAAAACGAAAGCATTCTTTTTCAAGAGAAGCAGGATTGTTCTTTTCAATTTATGTGAGTTAATTAAAATCTGGGAATGTGTAGCGTCACCTATTTCTGAATGGAGGAAAAACTGTTTTACATTTAAAAAATAATAACGTAATAGTCATTTCCTCAAATGTCCCCAAGTCTGACACAGAACAAGAGCAGACTGTCTGCTACAACTGTGCCAAATTTGATTCTGATCTGAAGCCCTATTTAGAAGTTATAATGTTTTTGTTGAAGCTGTCCCATTTCGAGAATTGACTTACACGAGTAGAATGTTGATTTGCTCTGTCAGCATTCTGATCTGAAGCCCTATTTAAAAGTTATAATTGTTTTTGTTGAAGCGGTCCCATTTCGAGAATTGACTTATACGAGTAGAATGTTGATTTGCTCTGTCAGCATGAGACCTGAGGTGCAACCATCATGTACCTCTCGTTTCTTCTTACTTTTCTGCTTGTTGTAGCCAAAATCTATCAGTGTGAGCTCTGTAGCCTTAGAACCTAAGCCAAGCCAAGAGATTTTTATAAAAAAGGGAAAACATCCCGCATGCATATCTCCTCCTTTGCAGTAAAAATATAGCAGTAATTCCTTTAAACAGCTTCAAGAATCAGAAAACCAAAACTCATCTGTCAGAAACAGCAAACTCACTAGCCCTAATGGTTATGGCTTACCCAATGGACTTGACTATTCTCTTTCCAAGAAATCCTTTTTGGAATATGGTGGAGAAGGATAATGAGAAGGAAAGGAAGTTAATAGAATCTTTGAGGCTAATGTGCCGTCTTTCATCTGGGAGATTCTGCAATGCAACACTTTTCTTTCGCACCTGTACATTACAATGTTTATTTATTAATCAAAGCTCCACTATCATTACAATGGCTACACTTAAAACATGCTGCATAGCCC